AGTAGAATTGGAAACCCCAAACCTATGTTGTCATGCGACAGGTTCCGTGTGAAACAGCTGTCAAAAGTTATGAAAAATCTATACCGCATCTCTAATAAGGAAGTGAAACGGAAAACGAGGTTGTAGAGTTTGAAGATTTGATTCTTCATTACGCCAGTGACCGCGTTCTCTGGTTACAGTTAAATAGGTTAAAACTTTACTTCCAGTTTTTTGGAAACTTGTTACACATTGGGACCTTTCAACAAAAAAGTATATGCGTTGCCTCAGTAGAACAAGTGTTGTCGTACAGCACTGAGGTAGCTGTTGGAAGGAGTAAGCAGGATCAACAGTTGCAGTGCGTACATCAGCACTGACATTTATACACAGCGACCGATAAGTGGCTGGACTACGTAAGAAATGACTTGGTTCCTTTCCGGGAACAGGGGCCCTTCGTAGATGTGGACATCAAGAAATGGGGTTAGTCCCGTCAGGTAAACTGGTTCAACAGTTACTTACTCCAGCCCGCGATCTGCAGGTGTGTTTGCCGAAATATGGCACAGATCGACAGGCGTAGGGCGGGGCATGCAACATTGTTGAGTAAGGCAGATGCGCATCTTAACATGAATGGGAATTGTACTTCTGTGATGCATTAACAGGCATCACAGAATTATGTTTTATATAATATATATGCTTATGGCAATCATGTTTGAAAGCTGTGAATAAAGCGGACATCCCATACCAGATGCATTTTGTTCATGCAAACGGCTCGAAGGAAATGATCACAAAAAGCACAACGTACATTCAAAAGTATAGGAGAGTCGCTTAAATAGCCAGAGTAAAAAAAAGTTGAATAAGCCTGTTGAGCTACTTCATAGCGTTTTACAATAAACCCAGGTTTTATTGACAGCAATGCCAGCAGTTGCATTTCCATCCGTCTCGTTTCGTTTCATCTTCAGAAACATGGTTTCATACGTGAGAGTGTGTTGATAGGTGCTTAAAGAGTGAAAAATGGGCTTAACGTCGAATTGGACCGGCTTCTTGTTCCAAGTTGTCTTGGAGGACACTTTAAAACAGAAAGTCTGCAACCGTTGGGGTGTGGACTGTCCATATGTGCATCCTTTCTTTTATGAAGTTTATTACGCAGATCTGATATCAGTTTTCATGCCATAAGCCAGGAGTGCCATATTGAAAAGAGAGAGCCAGCAGCTGTGACAAGCATTAGGCTTCACTCTGTTATTTCCTTCCATGAGAAAGATACCAATTTACCGAAATTGGAGCGATGAGAGGCAATTACCTCGACTGGAGCTCCAACTAGGGTCCTCTCAATGCTGAGTCCAAAGTTCCACAGACTGAACACACGGCCTGAGAGATCGTTTGAGTAGCAGTTGGCTCCATGTTATTTGAAGTGTGCTAGTTGCATCTTGTGTCAATTTATTCGCTAGGTTAACTTCATTCCCATCACGAAAGTTATTTTAGGAGGCCGTACCTTATATGGTACCAAAAATCGTCCCAAACCGTCCTTTCCTTCATTTACCTTTTATTCTATTACTTCATTTCTTTTCTTTGTTATGAATGCATCACAACTTAGATGGCAACAGATGCAGTAACGCAACAACAGTTTATCAAATATGGAGTGACTGCAAATTTGACGGTGAAAGCCTCTTATTCCCTCGGCTGTAGACGTATTCCACTGAAGTCTGATTTTTATTAAGACAGGGAAAGTATGAACAAATCGTATCACACATTATCATTCGCTTATTTTATCCAAAGTTCGAAACGCATTCTGTCCTACATGCTGACAGTTTCTTACTGCAATCACTTACTACTTACATGCCTCCCTTTCTACAGAAATTATGAGGCAGTAACTACTTTGCCACAGAAATGATGCCCTCGGCGGTAACGGGTAAGCGATGAAAAGATCTATGAGAGCCTCTCGTGTCTGCGAAGTTATAGCCGCATATCATTACCAGCTAACTGGCATATCATGGAAGCATGATATCACGAAACATTTTCATATCGTTATGAAAACAAACACATGAATTTGCCATAGTAAGGCAAGCATTCTGAAGGCAAAGATATGGACTCTTACAGATACGATAATGGATAAGAATTGACTTGGGTCAAGAGTGTAACTTTGTGTTACTTGGATCATGCATCGGCAATCAGCGACGAATCGAGCCGGCCGCAAGGTCAGCAATTCCTCGCGGTTTAGAGCATTCTCCCTCCAAGCCCAGTCTAGCGGGTTCCTGATAAAAATCTCTACACCATCGTGGTGAACGACCAATCGGATTAGTCCACCCCTGAGGGTACAAATTCATGATCATCGCCGGCCATCATCCTCGGAGAGCCGAGGTAGACGCCTGACCCACCGAAGTTTCTCTTTCATGGTTTCGACGAAAACCTGTTTCATCACCGCTTTGAAATTCCCTGCAATCTGCCATCCAAAGTTCTCTCAGTGACAGATAGCTGACATTTCTTGGTACTACTGAGTTACTGTGCTAGACAATCATACAACCATGGCCGAGGCAAATTTAGTTATCGATTTCTTCCATCGACTGATCGCTGAGTATTACCTCGGTCTTCCGCAAGGCATTTGATCGCAATATCTCCGTCTTTGATTGATTGATTCACAGTTTGACTTACGCACTGTTCTCTCAAGCTGTTGCAGCATACCTTGTTGCTCACTCTCGTTTTTTGCATGCAACGCCACGTCATCGGCAAACCGTGGGTAGTTGAGCGATGATATGAATCGCTGATATGAATCCTACCGTTCCAATTTATCGTTGATATGAATCCTACCGTTCCACCGTTGATATGAATCCTACCGTTCCAATTTATCCTCCGTAACACCACTTCCAAACAGGCAGTTCAAACGCAGCTAGAATTTGCTTCCTTTAGGAGGTTGATGTTGCGGGTGTCTACGCCCTGTTCTGCAGGCGCAGTTCAAAATGTGCTGCATTTGACAAGGCCGACCGCTTTCTCATAGTCGATAAAGGCGCTGCACAGATGGAGGCATTCCTTCGCACTCTGCAGGAGTTAATTTAAGATGAAAATATTTTTTTTTATGCCGAATAACCGTTCCTTCCGAGTTCTGCCTGCCCGTTCCCTTTGTTGCTGCTCGTTTCCAGACTAGTCGAATGCCTGTTAGTGATGATCTTAGTGAACAGTTTGTGGCCTGACGGGAGCAGATAGATTGGGCTATAGTTCCTCAACTCATGCTTCACACAGCTCTTGAACAGTGCGATTGCGTTTAACTCACATTCCAGTCTTACGAAATATTTTTCGGTTGCAGGATGCAGCAGAGTCTCTCCAACAGAGTCGCTTAATGTGTAGTAGTGTGTGATGTAACATGTGATTGAATGCACGTGAAATATGCATTTTGGATAAAACACTATTGGAAAGATTGAATCGTCAATTTTATACGACGATATATCGCCGTAGATTGAGTTCAATTTCCCTTTAACAAACCCATGGAGCAGACAGCTATATGTGGTTATTCATTTATTTAACTAGTAGCTAGAATAATTATTAATATCGTTGCTGGATTAGATACACAGCTGGTTACTTTCTTTTTTACCTGCACATTTTCTTACTTATTTACTCGCCTATTTACCTGCTAATTCACATAAATATTTACTTTCTTACATGTTTATTTATCTATTCATTTATTTTTTACATAACTGCTTGCTTTTGATGCTTATGTACATACCTATTTACTGACTAATTTGCTGACTTCTTTACTAAGTTTCGTACTTAGGAGGTATGCTACTTAAATATTGAGTGTTTCCTTGTGTACATACTGAAAATAGCATCAAAACACGGTCTATCTATACAGGACGACAACAATATGCCCATTCAGTTGTTTGACTAGTACCGATGTCTTTGTCTTCTGGCCCAACGCTCAGTTGGGACGAAAAAATGACTTCCGAAGTCCGTCAATCAACAGCTTTTTACCTTGAAGAAGGCCTGTGAGACATATAACGAATCGTCGGTATCGATCGGTCAATTGATTGGACATATTGTTTATAATGTTAATAAATAAACAGTGTCTTATGCTGTTTTCACTTTACAATGCCGTTTGACTATTTATCACATTTAAATAATTTCTAAGGCTCATACGCGCATAAATACTTTATTATTTACCTACTCTCGTGCTGGACGTGGAACGTACATAAAATTTGCGATGTTCGTAAATCTCAAAGTTTTACAGTTTGACATTAACATGTGCCTCCTCTATCGACCAAGGGACGATTGTCCGTCGACCGCATGTTTCGATTCAGTTGTTTCAGTAACGTCATCACCTGGTCGTCGATTCTTCGATGGTCAGATCTGGAGGCTATCGAGCTTATGAGGGTTGGCGTAACTCTGAGGGTGATCGATGATTCTCATCGAAAAGTCGGAGGTTCAACCACCATGGAAGAACATGACAGTTTGACTTTCACATCGGCTGTCAGCTGTATGTATGACAAATTAACAGTGACGCTTATTTCATGCGCATCGTTTTCAAGCTCTGTTAGGAACATAGCGACCACGAAAACATCGAGAGAAAAAACCGTAGAGTCGCTTTTGTCGCGGACGACAGCAGATGACGTGCCCTCAAGCATAGCAAACAACAAGTTCCGACAAGTGAGTCAAAATTAACGAAGTTCTGATTGAACGACGTTCCGACGTATTACACGTTATCCTGCGTATTATTCAGCGGTATTTAAAACTTCTGTTCACGCTTGCTGAGCAAGGAGAAAACAAAATTCGCGAAGACTCTGAGGAAGTAGCGGCGTTTCGGACTAGTCTTCGCGAAACTCGTCACAAACAAGTGAGGTGTGAACACTGAGTTTGAGACGAGGCAATCTTGCAAAATTGAAAAACGATAAATGGGAATGGCTAATAATGAAGTGGGCATAGAAGAAAGGGCAATGAAAACTGACTGAAACAACAGATAATACCACTGCTAACAATTATTATTATGCGTGATGCTTATAATGTTTAATTTGAACGTACAAAACGTTTAACTTAGGCATCATAGAAAGACCTAACATCTTTTGATCCTTCTTCCTAACTAATCATAATCGCCCAATCTCCCTGCCAACACTCCTCTGTACTGTGCTATGTTTCGCCACACACTCCATATCACTCTCTTACCTCAACGTCCTGCTGGCGTCCTCCTCCAAAAACATTCAGTTGGACGCTTGCAGCCTCAGCAATTAATCATCCGTCAGTGCCAGGTGACCTCTTCATCTTCGCTTCTCTTCTTTTGAACTGACACACATGCTTCACTTATATGCGCCTTCTTATGTCTTCATTTCACAGCCTATCCATGTCAGAAATTTGTAATATCTTTTGTTGCATAGCACGCTGCTGTACCGTTCACAAATATTCATCCCATTTCGAGAATGCCTAGGTCTCGCAAATACATAAAGCAATTGGCAATACCATGCATTCATAAATATGATTTTAACCACAATGAGTAACTTGCTGCTATTAAAATTATCAGCGTTTCTTCTGCACATACTCCTCCTAGAGCCTTAGATGAAAGGACTAGTCTGGGATTATTAGCTGTCTTAAGCAAATATAATCGATTACATATATCTAGTAATCATTTTTGCTCTGTGAAGATGGTTTTGCGAATTTGTTTTTCATTATTTTCGTATTTGTTCAGCTTACTTGAGGTTAAACATGTTTTATCTTTAAATCTAGCTCACACAGCGTGGTTGCAACTTTGCTTGTCTTTTCTCCCAACAATAAGATGTCGTCAGCAAATGCAAGAGTGAGCCAGTCGTCTCTTTGACTGAAAATCCATCGATCCATTTAATTTTGTAGAACAAGGACTCAAGTCATTTATTAGACAGTTTCGGTGGTCCTTGACAAACTTTGTTAGAAGCCTTGACCTTATCAGGATCCTCAAACAGTTGAATCTTCGTGCTGCAGCCAGTATGTAGATTTTGTATAATTCTGATGTAATCTTCTTCTTTGCTTTGCTCATCCAACGCATGGATGACTGCTTCATGCTCCACTATATCTGAGAATCTTCCATCGGCCATGAGGATAATGCAGGTAAGCACTCTGTACTCAAGGCACTTTGCGATCAGCTGATCCAGTAATGTGAAGTGGTCGAATGTCGAAATATTTCAGCAAATGCGACTTTCTCGATCGACTACAGCTAGTAAAATTTTTTCATTAAACAATTTAACAGAACTTTCGTGAATGGTACATACTTATGGAATAACAGAAAACCAAATGCTATGATATAATTCATATTTGGTAGTTTCCACTACTAATGTTGTTAATCTTTTAAAAATCTTCCTATCCTATGTTTCATTAACACCAATAATAGAAGAAAAAGTTAACAGTGCATGTAGTTAGTAGAACAGAAACTTATAGCGGCGACGAGGGCAGACCTTACTGCTCAATACAATAAGGTATACCTGAATGTCACTAGGCGATGCAAAACAGAGTTAATAGCCGAAGAAAACTTCAGAAGAACTGGGTCAGTGATTTACAAATCTCGATCAAACCTGCCGTTAAATCAATGATTGAGATCACTGTTCAAGAACGAGTTTTAAAACAATTTGTTTACAGTGAAGCATAGTGTTTTGAATGTAATTAATATTCCATTGCAACCAATGAGCATAATTCACCGAAGGAATTCTCATGACTACCTATGCAAGACTCAGGTGCCTCACAAATGCTACGCGAAAACGACTGGCAAACGAAAGTCGTTGACAAAAGAGGTAAAAGCCCCACAGTTAGCCAAAATTCGTCACAAACTGACTGATTCGAGATTGACATGGCATCATTAATGCTATCGCTCTTACATACGACAGCGGAACGAGGCATATTTACGTATGATAAAACGACCACTCATACTAAAGCATAACCTTGTAAGTTTTGCACGTAACAGCGACCTATCAGACAGCACTTTTCAAGCACTACCGCGTCCTTGTGTCGCAATCTTTGCAGGTCATCTACTAGTGATACATTGCTTTAATTATATGCAGTACGATAAAGCAGAATCGTAGAAAACGAAATGCGGACAGCAAAGAGCATATTCTAGAACACAAGCCAAGCGTGGAAGAATCACGTCGATCGCATCCGTCTTTCTAGCCGGTGAACCGGTGAACCGAGGCAACGAAACGCCGAGGCGATCGGTTCATGGTATCGATTCAGGCACCTTTCACGAGTTTCATCACGTCCGTAGCGAGGTCAGCGATCCTGGATTGGTCGATGGCAAAATCGAGGTCGATTTGAATCGCATCGTCGACGTGGCGCAGTGAACTGTGCGTGATGGCGATGCCGTTCAACGACGGCAGCCGGAAGCCCCTGTGCAGTAACTCGTTGCCCTTCGTCTCCAGCACTGCCTTCCAGATGTAAGCGACGAACTTCGCCTCGTTCAGGTTCATCAGCTTCTCGTGGTCGTTCTGCGTGTGCACGTCGAACTTCGACAGAGTCATGTTGCCGACGATCAGTCCGTTGCGGGCGATCAGGTGAACAGCCAGCACGACGTGCAACTTGCCTCTGAACAGGGTGTGGCGTCGGCCCTCTCGGCGCACCTCCAACGACAGCGGCCCGGCCATGTGCATCCGTCCTAGACCGTTGTGAAACTCCACGAATGGCGCGGTCGTGGCTCGAAAGGTTATCTGCAGGTAGTAGCCGGAGAACCTCTCCTGAAGCACCGGCAGCAGCGTGCCCATACATTCGAAGTTCGTCTCGCAGTCGATCTCGAGGAACTTCGCCATACCTGGTGTGGTGTGTCTGTTGAAGACGAAGTTGAAGTAGTTCTTCGTCCACAGGGTGTAGATCAACGTGTTGAACACGTACACGTGTGCCGAGCACGTGATCATTGAATGACCGTTGGGTGACCGAACTGCAGCTTTCCGGCTGGGTCGGAGCGGCACCGGTGTGCCGCCTCTTCCTTGCCACGAAACCTCACCACTGTGCCGTGTTTCGATGTAGTCACCGTTGATCACCGGCAGCTCGACGATGCTGAAGTCCAGCATCACGTTGCGAGCCATTTGTCCGTAGTCCAGCTGGCTGGAGCTCCGTACATGTCTCGGCACACCTACCGCGTTGGGTGAGGTTCGTTGCCTCGCGACACGGACCCTGTTTGCCGCGTCCTTGTCCGGCAAAGGAAAAATGAGCCTTTTGGTCTGGATTTGACTGAGGTACTTGTTCGTCCGATTGATTGCTAACCTTTCGATAATAGTGCAGATCTTATCAGCTACCTTTTTGCGCACAGCGTTGTTGAACATGGTTGTCATCGAGTCCAGTAAGGCCTTCAGAGGTCCGGCGTTATCGACGGATATGTGCAGGGACGCAATGGCCGCCTCGCAGTGGCCGACCTTCAGTTGGGCAATGACGTTAGACGCAAAGTTGATCAGAAAGTGGGCAGACACGCGGATGCCTTTCATCTGGGCGTAGATCACCATGTCAGGGATGTAGAGCAGGTGCAACAGTAAACCACGGCGTATTTTCGGCTTTGCCTTGATCATCAGGCCGAGGTTTTCGACCGACATGTACACCCCCGGTGTGTAACCTCCTTCGAAACGTATCCTGTACCTGTCGGCCGGCTTGAGGTCAAATATTTCTACATCCATGCTCTCTAACGTCCTCCAAATCAACGAGTCGTCCCCTGCGACTGTGAACTTCGCATGTCGCATGTGTTCTTCGAACAGGTCGATGACGAAGTCCTGTATGCGCTGAACGCCACTTTTCGACAGACGGATGAACAAAGCTGGAGGCTTGTGATGCTGCAGAGGAGAGTTCGCTGTTCGGTGAGCATCCGGATGAAGCGCTGGACTTAGACCGAAGGCAGTACCAAAAATGGCCAGAATGATGCATGCCAAGAGTGCAGCAAAATGCATCGCAAAAAAACCAGACAGACTACAAGTAACAATTAAGCCATAGGGTTTATATTAAGAGCAAAGAGGTTAACGAGTATCGAGCATTTACAAATTAGGTGACGTCGCTCTATTCAGAGCGCGACGTTCGGTCCGTATTTCCTTGGTCATGGCTTATTCGAAAAATGCCCGAGGAAGGCAAAAAATTAGCGTGTTATCCATCGTCTAATTATTTCAATTTTTAAAGTCTAATCTGAATATCTGGATAATCCACTAGCAAGAGGATTCAGCGTTCGTTTTCTTTCGGGATTCATTCGAAAGATTCTTAATGTATTCTGAATGTTACTTGTGTGAAGATGATTTGGCTGAGCCATATCCCGGTATTTTTCTCATTTGAAGAATTCACTGCATGTCTGAGGAAGCGATTATGTGATACTGGATTAAAATTGCATAAAAAATGGTATATTTCAGAGTAATCAAAAGCTGAAGACGCACGTCATGGTCAATATATACAGTTCACAGAGGTGGCTCTCTTATCGTGTTCGCCATTGTAAAGAGGCTAATGAATCTCTAGAATTTAAAGATTTCTTCCGGGTCGTGCACCGGTGGCACTACGAGATGATAAATGCATATGGCTTCCTATTAATCGTACGCCAATTAGCCAATCAGATGCTAGGTGAAGAGAGTTCCTTCCTAGTCGTGGTCAGTCAGCCAACTAGGTGCCATTCAGAGATGCTTCCTTACTGATCGTGCGTTATCTACTACCGGCGATGTGATTCTGACACGAGGAAGCAGCTGCTACACCTTCGAGTTTTATCAGTCCAATATTTTTACAGACAAAAGCGTTATCACAATTGTTGATTCAAAAGAAACCCTTTCTTGAAAATACAGCGTTTGCTGATAAGCCATTATTGCCGTCATTTTTTAATACTTTCATTTTCGCCTTGTGAAATGTACCATCGACTTATTCAATGGGCTGTACAGTCTTTTATTTTCGATTTAATACTCATGTTCACGGAAAAATTCACGTTTACACGTTTTACCCTGCACAGGCAATGAGCAATATGTGACGAAGTAGAGCAGGCAGTGCTGTCATCAGTCGGTATGATAATTACGAAGACTTCCAATGAACCATAGGATGACACATTAGAAAAATAATGGTGGGCGAATCTGATGGATTTCGCCATACTCGTTGCACGTTTATTAAGGAGAGGAATACTGTGACAGAAGAAAATACCTTAATTTATCCTGAGGAGAGAGTCGTCAAGAAAATTCAGAAGATCAAAACAAGTTAGCTGGAAGGCATGCCTTCTATGCCATTAGATAAATAGTTCGCTGACTGCGATCGTTCATCTGACTGTGATACCCTCTGACTGTGATATGATTAACAGACAACAAAGGTTCGCTGATTGCGGTGTAAACAATAAAATATCGCTACCTCGAATGGTTAATACCATCCTCTAATTCAACCACAGTATCTCTGCCGTTGAGGGCAGGAAAGGATCACGGATTACAGCACGTTCTCAGTCAAAAGGAAGTATGATGCAAGGCATCTCTATCTTACTCGAGACGATCTGTTATGACATTATCCTTAACGATCTTCACCCAATCCAACCATTGAGGAAAAACGGAGTTTCTACGTCGCGTGCTGCATGGTCCCTTATCCTTAAACAAACAAATTTGCTGAGCAGACGAACCAAAAAATTCTTTTTTTCCAATCCTGTGAAAATGTGAACGGGGACAAAGAGCACGAACTCTGCACTGATTGGACAAGCCATTTCAAGCCCTCGACCGAAATAATACATAACTGCAGCATGGCCATAAGCACACCTTGGCTTCAGACGCAAAGCATCTGCGGACTACACAATCAAATGCAGAAGTCAACCCGGACCATCGTGAAGAAGGCTCTTGAAAGTCGAGCCGAAACGTCGTACTTATCAATCACCCGATCGACAGAGTTGTTGTGTGTGTTGCTTATAAATAATCTATTTTACATACTTTTATTATGAGCTCCAAGGCACGAGCAAATTATTGAATTTTCGAAGATATTCGTGTTGTCGTTTGCCTGAGTCATAAGTCGTCTTTATTACCGGTCTGTCAAATTAAATTTTATTTGCTCAAATGTCCCACATTACAAATAGCGTCACAAGAATCCATATCCTCTAGTGATAATAGAATAAAATACTAGAAAACACGGTATTCACAAAAGACATGAACACCGTATTTACAAGCTAATAGGAGCAAGAGGCCGGCTCAACAAGCCGTTAAATCCGGTCTTGGAAAAACTTGGCGATGCTTAACATTCTCGCATGTAGCATGTATGAAAAACGTATGATATTTATAAACCATGACAAACTCTTCGGTTCCAGTCACTTTATGCTTAGAACATGCGATGATTGCGTTACTGGAGGACTGCCTCTTTGGCGCTGCGGTGCTAGAACGTGAGCAATTAATTGGAAATTACTACACATGACTAGGTTCAGTCGTGCACTTTTAAGCATTAGAGATTCTAAGGCAATCCATTAGCCATGGAAATATGATATGCGGCCAAAAGGGTGTAGTGAGGAATGAGAAAAATGTTCGAGCCAAATTTACAACGCACCATCATTTGCCTCAATGTCGGATATCTTCCTCGGTCGTTGATATAAATTGCAGCTTTCATGATTCAGTTTTTACAGTCAGAAAATACTTTCAGCAGCTAGAATTTCAACGTTGGCACTGGTCACCCTTACAGTGCTCCCTTAAAAGGTTTGCACCCTAATGCGAAGTGACCGACATGCATGTGTACGCATCCAAAACGAAAAGACTAGTGCTTTCTCGTTCTCCTATCCGTTGTTCTCTTCAGATTAATGGAAAGGCAGTGGAA